TTAGGGTCTATTTTGAATTGACGAAAACGTTCTTGATATGACGGCAGAAGAACTTACGCTGCAACAGAAAGACAACTGCTGTTTCTGTAGAGAATTCTTGTAGTGCCTTAACAGAAAAGGTGTTTTGCGATTTCTGAAGCTTTATAGGTTTAAGTGGATTTTTTCCAGCAATTTTGAGTGGCTTTATTTTAGTTAACATATAATGAGCAGAAATACTAGAAGGGATTAGACGAAGTGTCATATGCAAGCAGACATATTTGCATATGCATTCTTTGTTTCATCCCTTAGCTTTAAACACGGGCAAAGCGCAAAATGTGCTTTTATTGCTTATATATGCAGGAATTTTGCTTGTTTTTTAACTCAAAACACATTCCTACATCGCTACTTTGGGCAGCTTCTGTCCCCTCTGTCGTGTATTTTTCTTGCTTTTATCAAAGATATCGCAGTTATCGATCTCTTTGTTCTGCTCTTTTCTGAACTCAACGTGCCCTGTATGATGCATGATGATGTACATGTGCTTCTCTGGTTCAGCACTACACAGTTTCCGAGCGTTTGCTGAACATAACACACTGTATTAAGCAATCTATTACGTTATTTGAAAATGGTTAGACTGAGTTATGAGGGTATTGTCCGTACTGATAGAAATCAAGAGGCTGGAACAAATGACATTGGTTTTCAGTGAATGCCGGTATCACGAAAACACATACGGAAACGCTGAAATCGCTGCACAAGCTGTGCTACGGTACACCAGGCACCGCAGCAGCACGAAAGAAAGACCTGAGACGTTTCAATGGATTCACTTTTGACCGAAATAGCGCTGAATTTGAAAAGAAAAAAACGGGCGCACTGAAGCTGACAACCAATGAGGTAAGCAGTTTGTTCGAAAAACAAAATATCCAAAAAAATCAGCCAGCTGCCGTCAGAGAACACGTTTCTTAATTTTTCTACTGACATAAATGGTACATTTTTGATCCCCCTTTTTATGCGTTTTGTGCTGTGTAACAGCGTTAAAAAACCCATATTGTCATGGGGTTGTCTGTGCGTGTGTGTT